CCTGCTTCTCCCTCTGACCCTCCCCCCTCTCATGTGCTCTCTCTGTCTCTCATTCTCTCTGTCTCAAATAAATAAATAAAATCTTAAAAAAAAAAAAAATTCTTTGTTAAAGATTTTTTTCTTAGGAGGAAAGCAATGATTTTTAACAATGGGAGTGTAGTGTTTTAAGACCTTTTTTTAAAATAGTGTAAACTAGTATTTTGGTTCCCCAAATTATTTTTCAGATGTTCAGTGGAAAGATTTTTTTGTGTGTGCAATTCAGCAGTTATTGAATTTTAAGTTGAACATAATCAGATGACTTAGGTTAGATAGCTCCCCTCCCCCATTTACTAAGTTTTGTGCAGAAGAAAAATAAAAGATGAGAAAAAATAGGATAAATTTTAACCTTTGTCAGAAATAATGTGATAGAGGAGTCTTTGCTTTTGACTGGATTTCAAAATGAGCAGTATACATAAAACCTGAGATTGGAGCTGGATTTTGAAATAGTGCCACATGCAGAATGCCTTCAGGTTTAGGTGGTACTAAATTTGTAAGTGTACAATTTTTTTTTGCTATGCATTCTAAAATTTTTTGTCTTTGAAAATAAACTGTATTAAACTTTTTTTAATAAACTTAATTTTAGAAGGTCAAGATTTACAGAATTATTGCAAGTATAGTACAGAGTATTTCCATGTAAACCAAACCTAGTGATATCTTACATCATTTTGGTACATTTGTTACAAGTAATGAGCCAATACTGATACATTGTTTTTTTTTTAAGATTTTATTTATTTGAGAGAGACAGAGAGAGCACGAGTGGGGAGGAGAAGGAGAAGCAGGCTCCGTGCTGAGCAAGATGATCAGGGCCCTGGGATCACGACCTGGGCCAAAGGCAGCAGCTTAACGGACTGAGCCACCCAGGCTCCCCAATACTGATACGTTGTTAATGAAAGTCCATACTTTTTCCAGATTTCCCTAGCTTTCCCTTATGTCCTTTTTTGAACTCCAGGATCCCATCTAGGATACCATATTACATTTAAGTGTCCTGTCTCCTTAGGCACCTCCCCTTGTTATGACAGTTCCTTAGATTTTCCTTGTTGATAACCTTGACAAGTTTTGAGGAGTACTGGTCAAGTATTTTATGGACTGTCCCTCATTTGGGGTTTGTCTTAATATTTTTTTTTCATGTTTAGACTGGAAAAATAAGTGGAGAGATATTCCATAGATTGGAAGACTAAATATTGTTAAATTGTCAGTTCTTCCAAATTTGATCTATAGATTCAGTAAAATTTGAATGAAAATTCCAGTGAGCTAATTTGTAGATATTAAACTAATGCTGAGTTTATATGGAAAGGTAAAAGACTTAGTAAGCCAAATAATACTGAAGAACAAAGTTGGAGCACACTACTTGGTTTGAAGACTAAGTCTATAGTAATCAAGACAGTGAGGTATTAGCAGAAAACTAGATATATTGCAATAGAGGGTGATCAGAATAGAGAACCTAAAAGCAGGCCCACATAAATAGTCAGTTGATCTTAAAGGGAACAGAGTGAATCTAATTGACTGTCTAATTGCCAGTCTAATGATTTTTCTGCCTGGAGTCTTAGCATGAACTAGTAAAAATTTGCTCAGCCAGATCACTGTGACTGAAATTATACTTGACTTTACTGTGTTTGCTGGGGAGAGATTTTTTTTTCCCTCATGATCTCAATTTCTGGAACTTAGAAGGACACATTTGGTACAGTGTAATTGAGTGAAATCCAGTTTTATCTGTAGACCATATTTTGAGATAGTACCAGTTTTTCATTGTTTTAACTCTTGATAGTTTTGGCATGGCTTTAGATGTCGAAAATAAATGTGATCTAAAAAGAGATGGTACTGAGTTCAGAAATTAAAATAACCAATTTAAGGAAGATTGAGATTTCTGTATAGTATACATAACGGATTTTAATTTTCCTGAATTATTTTTCCAGAATTTCTTGAGGTTGGAAAAAAGCAGCCTGCTTTGGATGTGCTTTATGATGTTATGAAAAGTAAGAAACACAGAACATGGCAAAAGATACACGAGCCGATTATGTTGAAATACTTGGAACTTTGCGTGGATCTTCGCAAGAGCCATTTGGCTAAAGAGGGATTATACCAGTATAAGAACATTTGTCAACAGGTATGAAAAGAGCTAGGTTTTATATTTTTAAAAAGTGCTTTTAGTAACTGTCAGATGAGTTTACTTTCCAGAGTTATAATATGGTTTATATCCTAAAATTTGCTCTTAAAATATTTTATGGTTTGCTGAAAAAGTGTTTTAAGGCGTTCTCTCTTTTTGGTTAGGTGAACATCAAATCTCTAGAGGATGTTGTTAGGGCATATTTGAAATTGGCAGAGGAAAAAACTGAAGCTGCTAAAGAAGAATCTCAGCAGATGGTCCTAGACATAGAAGATCTGGATAATATTCAAACTCCTGAGAGGTATGTAGGTTAAATTGCTGATACATTTTCCTCAGTTTTTCTTTACATGTGTCTCCGTCATCCTTGTTTGAGGTGTAGATGTTCATTGGAAAGAACGCTTATCTTCAGAATTTTAAATGTATAGTAACAAAACCATGCTATTCAAAATTGGTAAGAGTGGGAAATCTTCAGATAGGAGGCAGATACTGATTTAAATGGTTGTAATATGCATTGGGGATTCAAATATTTGAATGCGTGACAGCTTTACAGTGCATCCAAAGTTGTAGGAAGAATTCACACTTTTTTATACTGACCATTGTTGGTTTTGGTTTTTTAATCATATGGCAAAGTAGGAAATCATGTCTAAAATTGCTTTCAACTTTTTTAAATTTTTTTTTTTTTTTTTTTTTAAGTGTTCTCCTAAGTGCTGTAAGTGGTGAAGACACTCAGGATCGTACTGACAGATTACTTTTAACTCCATGGGTTAAATTCCTTTGGGAATCATATAGACAGTGTTTGGACCTTCTTCGAAACAATTCCAGAGTAGAGCGTCTCTACCATGATATTGCCCAACAAGGTAAGATGAAAACTGGATTTGAAAAGTTGACTTTTAGGGAAAGATTTTGCAAAAGATGGACAAGGTTAACCTGTTTTTTCCCACAGTACTTATTTTATAGTTTTTAGCTTTATTGAAAGATGATTGGCATTCATTTAAATATTAAATAAGTGACTATAAGAAATTTGTTTTACTTGTTAGGGTAATTCTATATGAAATCCACTTCACGAATATCTGAAAGACAAAGTCATTTTGGGATTTTCCAGGTGACTAAAAACAAATGGAACTTTTTGCTTTCTGATAAACTTGAGTTCTTCTTTTGACTTCACTACTACATATTCTCAACCATGCCATGGGTTTATGAGGTCTTTTTAAGCTTTGGACTTCTAGGATTCCTTGAAAAATACATAGTTTTATTTTCTTAAACAGTATCACTGAATATAGAACTAAGTCATTTTGATGACTCAGGATCGTCATAAAAAGTATCCGGTTGTTACACTGTATATACAATTGATGCTTGAACAACTTGGGGGGGCAGTTGTTAGAGGTGCTGACGGACACACCCCTTTGCTTCCACTCCTGCACAGTTGAAAATGCACCTATGACTTGACTACCCAAAACCTTAACTACTAATAGCCTCTTGTTAACCAGAAGCCTTACTGGTAACATAAACAGTTGATTAACACATATTTTGTATGTTATATGTGTTATATTACTGTATTCTTAAAACAGGTAAGCTAGAGAAAAGAAAGTGTTAAAATCATAAGGAAGAGAAAATTTACAGTACTGTATCAAAAAAATTTATACGTTAGTGTACCTATGTAGTTCAAACTCTTGTTTAAGGATTAACTGTACTTTGAATCCTGAACCAAATGAAGTTCATTTTCTTAATCTTGTATCTTTTCCTTACTGTCACTTGCTGTTAATGCAGCTTTTTAACTATATATGAATGGAATATATGTGACTTGAGAGTGGCTTTTGGCTTTCTCTTACTTTGCCTTAATACAACTTTGTATTGCCATTCTTTTCAATATGCGGGACGATTGGCATTTGTTTATTCAAGTTGTGAGTGACTGTAAGAATATTTTATTATGAGCATTAGAACCTGTGTTCAGTTTTGCCTACATGGCTAGCATATGTGAATTTTCATTGAACACAAGTACACTTGGGGCTTTTGATAACTACTGATAATAAATGTTAACTTGAAGTTAAGCTGCATCCCTTTGTTTTGGGCCTGTTGAAATAGAAATCTCTTTTTTAAGAGCAAAGGAATTCTGAAACAATTGTTATATTGCATATATGACAGTAGAAAATTATTTTAATGACAGAGCAAGTAGTTAAAGCATGCATCTATGTACACAGTTGAAATCAGGTTACCATAAGCCCACAGTTAGATAGCAAGGCTCTTTATATTTCAGGCTAGAATTTTTTGTTCTTTTAGGATTTGAAGTGGTAGGTGTTTGAAAGGGGAGTCCCTCCTACACCTTAATTTGAATAGTTTCCCGTTTGTAAACTCTCCTAGAACCCCAGCACCAAATTCTAGTTCTGGGCCAGGACTATGTCCAAAAGATGGTCAGGACACATGATGAAGTGACCAAGGACTTACCATTTCTAAAGACTGATTATAAGTTTGGTAAATCTTGTTAAAATAACTGATTTTAATATTTGAAATAAAAGTAATTCAAATACTTAGTGATGGTGGAAAGTACCTAATATATCTTATAATTAATTACGCCTATAGCTTTCAAATTCTGCCTCCAGTACACTCGTAAGGCTGAATTCCGTAAGCTGTGTGACAATTTGAGAATGCACTTGTCACAAATTCAACGTCACCATAACCAGAGCACAGCAATCAATCTTAATAATCCAGAGAGCCAGTCCATGCATTTGGAAACCAGACTTGTTCAGTTGGACAGTGCTATCAGCATGGAATTATGGCAGGTATGTTATGAACTATTTGCTGTCTTTTGTAGTCATAATAACCCATATTACTTTTTTATTTATTTAATTTTTTTTGGTGAGTAAAGTGATAGAAGTTTATTAAGCAAGGATACAGAAAAAGCTCTCAGGAGTGAGAGGGGTCCCGACCAGTTTGCCTACGTTTTTTTTCTTTAATCAGTATCTTCATCTTGTTATTTATTGGTTAATTTCAATAGATAATTGAGGAATTTAAGATTGTCTAATGGAGAACCAAGAGTTCTGGACAGGCAGTCTCAGGATATTTTGGTTCTAGTTGCCTGCTGTGAAATCTGGGCCAAATCAGGTAATCTCTTTTGGACCCGGTGGCTTTCCATATAAAACAGTTCATCCTCATTGTTGCTCAAACTGTGGTTCAGTGCCTGTCTGTGAACTGTCTACTGATCCAGGATGAAATAATTAAAGAGAATATGCATTTATTAAGGGTGGGGTTGTTTTGTTCTTGGTTGTTTTGTTTTGGTTTGGTTTTGGTAGCAATTTCATGGTAATTTTATGTGTGTTTACTCTGTTTAGGAAAACTGAGCTTGTCTTTCAATTTATTTTCGTAATAATTTTGCTGTATTTCATAAAAATATTGGCGGCAATAGGTTGGAAATTTAAAAAAACAGCTTGTCCCTTTACTGTGATGTGGGAGAAACGCTGCACTAGATTGTCTCCTAGATTTCTTAGTGTTGCTTTGGCTTAGTAAACGTGTGGGGAAGAGCCTTTGGAAATCTCGGTGGTGTTGGGAGACTTGCCAACCACTTAGGCTTTTTTTGTTAAGAATTCCACGAAGGGGGCTCAGTTGGTTAAGTGTCTGCATTAAGCGTCTGCCTTCGGCTCGGGTCATGATCCCAGGGTGCTGGGATCGAGTCCCACATCGGGCTCCCTGCTCAGTGGGAAGTCTACTGTTCTCCCTCCCTCTCTTAAATAAGTAAATAAAATCTTAGAAAAAAAAAAGAGTTCTACAAAGATATTTTCACATGATTTTGTAGTCCTGACTTGAAACTTTCAAAA